TTAAATTTTTTTCTAATACAATTCTCGGTGCAAAACTTTAATGAGAATCCTCCGATCAAGACATAAAATGTATGAGTTTTTAAAACGCAAAACCCTCTTTAAAATGAAAAAGACATTTTCAGTAATCAGGAACTGCATTATTGCTGCGTGCGGTAAAGTTAGCTGATTATTTTTTAATTTTCAAGCTTTCTTCTTGGAACAAAAACTGCATTTCTCTGATAGCCTTGATAATTTCATAAATACTGACAGAATATCTTTTAGCCATGATAAAGATTGAACAACTGAAAGATGGCTGTCTTCCAGTTTGTAGCGCCGTGTAGTCTGGTAGAAGTTTACCATCGTTTCTCAGGTCCTTGCTGCCTCTGTCATCAGACCTCTGAAATGTCGGTAAACATCTACCAGACTACACGGCGCTACAAACTGGAAGACAGCCATCTTTACACCTAAAAATTGCTACAGCACGTACAACAGAACGTTACGACCATTACGGTCGAATCTTCATGTAATAAAATGCAACACTGATTTTTCACTGCATATCACTTACATCATTGTCATAACCTTCAACTTACATCAGTCACAAAATTAACTTTCTTGCACTTTGCAGCTTCATTTTACATTTGAATGTAATTACATTTAATAATAAAATAGATCCTCTGTGTTAAGAAACGGCATTTTTTAATATGCAACAAATGTGTGATTGTTTTAAAATACAATTCACAACTAAATAAACATACAGATATAATGGAATGAAATTACACTTTGTTGCATTTCTCTCTCTTAAACTTAAAAGTACGAATGTTTAATATCACATTCTGTTTAATCTCGCTTTTAATACAAATTCACTAAGACCTCACAACCTACTGGGGAACAGGATGCATTATTAGAGAAAATATTATTTATGCCTTCAAATGCTATATTTGCATTGGATAGGTTTATAGACTAAGGAATCCCACAAATGACAAAAGTACATACGTATAATTACTTTAACACAATTTTATTTCATTAATGCTTTTATAGAAAAAAGGTTATGACAAATAAATTAATGGATATCAATATTTATATATGTTTTAAAACCACCCTACTTAAAACTCTGTTCTCTTTGTGGGTCTTTACGAAATGCATCGATTAGAAACGAGACGCCCGAAACGAGCACATTCGACTCTGAACACGTCTATTTTGCAGTTCGCTGATGACGACCACTGAAAAGAATGCATATTACACCTGGAAAAACAATATAACCTAAACCAAAGCTTAAAATATTGTAGCCATGGCGGTCTCCAACACAATGTAACATGTCTGATCATTAACATTACACATGGTTTTATTTTACAAATTTCATAGAGCCATTAAGGCTGTTAGATTTAATTTTCATATACATTAACATACAGAAAACAGTCACAACTCTGTGCACGGAGCTATACAGGATTTTATGGTTTTATAAATTTGTTCTCTTTCCTAGAAAGAAGTTATTTGTATTATTTTTATTCAAGCTTTAAAAATAAATACCGAGTCCTCGGGACAGGTACAGACGCTCGGTCCGCTCGGTTTCGCCGCGACGTCCTTCAGCCGACACTCCTCGACCATATTGCTTAGTGTTAGAAAGTATGATTTGTACATCTCAGAAAACTAGGCGCGCAATATTTTACATTGCCCGACGCATTTCTCGATTACTTTCACGGAAGTGATGATGCACAGGAGGGTCTGCGTAACAAATCAGTAACATTTCATTATGTTTATACACTATTTTCACTCACTATCCATCTTTGCTTTCTACTACGTCTTATCATAATACCTTCTTCAAATAAATTACTTTTCACACGTAGGGGATCTGTTTCTTTGTGCTAGAAATAAATATTCAACAATCCATTGCACGTACGAAGTAACTGATACTTCAGTGTCTATAAATGGAAAATCTGCGTCTTCCACAAATATTTGTGTGTTTTTTGTGTGTCTAGTTCTCTGTTTGTTCCAGCACCAATGCGCCAACACCTAAAAAATATCACGCACTGCCGATATACTCAGATTACACGCAAATTAGACGAGGAATTCGGGATCACTATATTCATTGCCACTGTCCTCACTGTCTTCCAACCTCTTTCTCTTCTTTTTATGTCGGTGCTTTTTGTGCCGTTCCGGTTTATGAGTCTTGTGCGATCGATGGTGTCGTGCGTCTTTCACGTCCGGCGGTCTTGGGGGTACGATGGTCAACTTCGGGACTTTCTGAGGAATTTCCTGCACCTAAGAAAGAAAATTAATAATTTCTAACACACTTGTAGAAAAAAAAAGAATGAATCCATTTTCTATAAAATGTGTCAGGAAATTAAAACTTTTTATACCGAAATAATCGACCATCTGAGCTTCTGAGGACGAAATGATAAACGCTCCCTTTACCTTTTGTTCTTCATGTTGCGTGTTTTGCCGAGACTTGTCTGGTACGCCTCCACTGTCACTTGGCGCAGAAGGCCGCACATCATCCCCTCCTAACTTGACTGTGATTTTTGGCGGTGCTCCACTTGGATCATCGTCATCTGGATCATCTGGGTCGAACTTCAACATGAGTTGCTTGAACTGAAAGATAATCAAAAATTTTTCTTGAGCTTCATAACCTTAAATTGCCAAGTCTGCAGTCGTCATGTGAATTCCTACACACAGAACTTTGTGCTACGAAATAAAAATTCTTGAATATGATGAACGTCCATCTGTTCCATGCAAAATTTTAGAAAAGAGCTATATCTAATATTTGCACGAACACAGAAATAGTCTGTTGACTAATGTGAGATGGGCTCGGTGCTGTTTAACTGGACCACAAAAATTTATAAATGTCATGGGTGCTTAATTTCAGAGAACAACAATAAAGTAAAGTACCGATTTTTGCATGACGGTAGAATATGAATGCTCAATCAGTGGATACTTACATCCAAGTACTGCTCTATTAAAGCTCTTCTCGCATTTTCGTCTAAGACACTTGCTGGAGAGCCTTGCCGAAGCTTCTGCAATGTTGCCTTCGGATCGAAACAGGAATTACTGCGTCGATTCACGGTCTTTTCGTACACCTTTGCAGACTCCGACGGTGAATACTGGGTAATTTTCCTGTAAAATGATGACACAAACACAGACGTGGTTCATACTGCGGAAAGTGATGCCACGGGTCTCTCTCAAAATTAATGCGCCATTTAACATTCGCACACTCATACTTACGCATCACTGATCCCATACAGATCCTTCAGGTGCTGTTTGAGAACCAACAATAGTAGACACCCCTGTGATGCCGTAATACATTCCTGAAGTACCGTCGTGTCAACCGGAACCCTACCCAACAGCACTTCTTCGTCCTCATCATCATCCTCTTCCTCGACATAAAACAATTCAGTAGTTCCTGTTTCGGGGTTTAGCCTCGCTTCTTGATTTGGGTTTGTACCAGGAAGGAGGGCCTGAATGAGATACCAAAAATCACATTGTAGTTACCTCGTGTCAAAGAACACGTATGATCAGGCACTTTACAATAATAATAATGTTTCCTGATTCTTTATGAGCTTAAGCAGCAAGAGCTTCTGTTAGACTGCATAATGAGGTAAAGTTAAAACTGTTGCCACGGTAATGAAACAGATTCTTCACACTCTGACAATAAAGTCCAAACGCAGAACCGTACGGACAACGCACCAGCATACAGCTGATAGTTGATTTACTTTAAAAAGGTGTTAAGATATGAAAAAATGACATAGAACACATAATAATCCTGAGGGAAGCGAAGGGAAGACTGAAATGATTTTGTTGGCTGAATGACGCTCAGATGCCTGCTTAAAGATTAAAATTCCACGTGAGAATTTTTTAATTGTTCACATGCCCAAAACACATATAAACATGAATTAAAGGTTTAATATTGTTTAAATGAAAAGGCAATCAAGAACGTCGGACTTACCTCACGAAAAGACTGGAGAAGATTTGTGCCAGACACCGAGATCATAATGTCTATGTGGTGAATAATAAAAAGAGGCTCATCTTGTACTTGGTAAGGAAAGTAGGCCAGATTGTCTGACAGGTACAGCATCTGTGACAGGCTGGTTTTCTAAAAGCAACAAAATAAATACAGTAACGCACTATAACTAAATGCGAGGTTTGTAGAATTCTAGTTCTACGAACACATTTCTGTTGAATGGTACGTTATGGTGATCCACACAACCATTACGGTCAGGCATAGAACAAAAATATCTAGAGACTTATGACAATGTTTACGGCCAGTTAATGTTTTATGCAAATTCTGGTACATCACATAACTTACCACTTGTTCATCAAACTGCTTCAACACTGATAAGACAAGTGCTCTCCTTTGCTGCTTTGTGCTTCTCAGAATGGAGTAAAGAAATCCGTT